GTCTCTCATACTTCGGACATATTGTCAGGAGAGACAAGTCGCTGGAGAAGGATGTCATGGGAGGGTCAGAGAAAAAGACGAAGACTCCCAGCAAAATGGAGTGGCAAAGTGGCAGCATCAATGGGCTCAAGCATGGCAACGGCAACAACTGTCAGGTTGGCCCAGGACCGGGCAGTGTTATGTTCTGTTGTGTGTAGGGTTGCTATGAGTTGGTATTGACTCGGTGCCACTAAAAACAATACTACCAGAGCTCCTTGGTTCTGACTCATAGTGACTCTGTATAGGGTTTCAGAGGCTATCAATCATTACCGGAGCATAAAGCCTCATCCGTCTCCCGCGGAACTGCTGATAGAGCCAGTGATGGGGAAGGTACCTGGGAATCCACTAGGTCCCCAGAATCCTGGCTCCTGGAGGCTCCCTGGGTAGAGCTTCCTGGGGAAGTTGAGGGTGGGGTGGGGTGGGGTAGGACAGATGGGATCCCAGTTTTGAAAATCCACACAAGTCTCCCTGGTATGTGGGTGGAGAGTCAGGTCAGATGCTGATTAGGGGCTGCAGGTACCAGTAACGCACTTTCCTACAAGAGGAGGGGGGTGTGGTGAGTGAACTGTGTGAGTCGGGGTTACAGTGTGGGTGGGGGAGCCTGACCCCCACCTCCTTTAGAAGCCCCAAGAGCCACCCTACCCCGTGGAAAAGCTCAGAAGCAGGGGCAGAGGAAGACTTGGACAGGGGACAGGGACTGGGTCCGCTGGAAGCTCGTACTGGGGGTGGGACGCTCAGGTAGGAGACAGGCTCACAAGGCCCCCACCTGAGGTGGTGGCTCAGCCTGGCCTGGTCTAGGTGGACTTTGCGAACGCCCCCAGAGACTCTTGTCTAGACCTTTCAGCTGGGTATCCAACCCTTACCTGACGCAATAGGGGATAGAGAGAGGCAGAGGTGGGATTAGACGAGGTCTCCTAAGGACTAAGTGGAGAAGTGGAGACCACACTACCTCACACTGCTCTCCCCACCCCCACCCCCACCCCAGGGACGCACTGGACGCCCTGGGCCTGAAACGCTACTGCTGCCGCCGCATGCTGCTAGCCCACGTGGACCTCATTGAGAAGCTGCTCAACTATACGCCCCTGGAGAAGTGCACCCCTGGAGAAGTGACCACAGTGACCACCACTGCCCCTCACCGGAGCTGATGAAAAAACCGTCAGATGGGAGCTCAGAGCCATTCAATAAAGCCCTTAGCTAAACCCCCAGGCTTCTCAGTGTGGGCCAGCTTGGGTTCCATCCTCTGTCCATGTCCCCGGGCACAGCCTCCTGGTGGGAGGGTGGGGAGCCTTGAGGAGGGTCTCCACAGCACTGTGTTCCTGTGCTCGGGCTGGCAGGGGGACTGGGTCAGACCAGACAGTGGCCCTCAGCTGCTTCTCCTCCTGACTTGTGGCTCTTCTCCCACCTCCTCCGCTCTGGGACCACCAGGGCTCCCTGGTGTCTGTCCACACACGGGCTGACAGCCGAGGGATCTTCTAGCATCACAGACAGGTCCAGGGCCACATTGGACATGGCCCACTGGGCCATCTGCCCTGTGTCTCATCAGCCCTTCCCCCTTCAGTCAGGATGGCAGGTGGGCAGATGTGTTGGGACTGACGGGCCACTAGAGGACAGATCGTCAGTCCAGAAACGTTTATTAAGCACCTGGGGTTGGCAGGAGCAGTTCTGAAGACAAGACACAGTGAATGGCAGAGCTGGCCGCTGCAGACAGCCTAGCAGGAGATGGGGTGAGGGAGTGGCCAAGGGGTTTAGTGGGGAAACAGTTGGGGTGGCCAGTCTCTAGCCACAAGCAGGAGTGTCTGTTCAGTGGGTGTGGGCACCCCCAAGATGGGACAACCTCACCTCTGCTCCCTTTTCCCTCACTCATTCTTTCCAAATTCACCCACAGCCAAGTCCCTCTGACCCCACTCCAAAGAAGGCAGCCTGTGGGCAGGAGAGGGGGTTGTTCTTCCAGAACCCATTCCCAACAGGGAGTGGAGCTGAGCAGGGGCCCTCCCTCCCAGAACTTTGGTGTACAGTGAAAGGCACTGGAAGCTATAAAGGGAGCATCCATCAGAAACCACTTTGGAGTGGGGGGACCGGCTCCCTTCCTATCAGTCAGTAGTGTGGGCTCAGTTGTCCGTGAGGAGCTGCGGCGTGTTGGGCGGGGTGCTCAGTAATGTTCCAGCGTCAGGCTCTTATAAAGGCAGCAAGTGAAGATCATACCAAAGACCTGGACCAGAAGCAGGGCAGGCTGGGCATGAGCAGAGGCCATGGGGCTCACCAGGCCCACACCCACTGCCCAGCGCCCCCGCACCTGGACACAAGCGATGCCGATGCCCACAGCCCCGATGATGCGCAGGTGCTCCTGAATGAAGGTCTCCAGTTTGGTGATGCAGCCCCCCTGTTGGTGGAGGCAGAGTACTAAGCCCAGGCCGCCCGCAGCTCTGGGCTGCCCCAGTGTCCCCCAGCCCCACCCAGCAGCAAGCCTACCTCCACCTTGTAGATGTTGGAGGCGTGGTCCCGCCCGCCGCAGCCCTCCACCACAGTCTTGCAGCAGCTGTCAGGGACCACACGACCACCCGCCTCTCCTGAGCGGATCCACTCACTGTCCCGCCAGTCCTTGGAGAAGTTGCTACCACAGCAGTGAAACTACAGCAGGAACGCGAGAGGCTGAGCCCATGGACAAACCCGCAGACAAACAGTTGCTCCTACAGGGGCACGTGCAGCCCACGAGAGCCCCCAAATGCTCACTCCTCAGGGCCCCCGGGATTGTCACACACACACACACACACACACACACACAGACTCCTCACTCCTCAGGGACCCTCGGGAGCCCCCTTCCCCCTCTCGGGGCCCACCTCCTGCTGCAGCTTGTCCACGGCACTGGTCACAGCCTCGTGACCAGGCTGGTGGTACCGCTTTGTCATTGTATCCTTCAGGTTCTCCTTGAGCTCTGTGTTCAGCTAGGGGGACAGGCAGAGACATTAGCTTCAGAATCTCAGACCCCCCCACCCCAAAGCAGAATGGGGCGCTCAAATGCAGGGAAAGATAGGTCAGCACACTGTGGTTCCCAAGGACAGGTGGTCTGTCCCTGGGGTCCTTTCCCTAGGGGACCCAGCCTCCACCTCCAGGGCCAACAGCAAAAAGGTCAGCTGTAGAGTGTTAGAGCAGTCAGCGGTGCAGGTCCCACAGGAACACTAAGACTGAGCTCATGCTGCTCTGCTCTCCCCACCATGCCCACGACAGCCTTCTCTGGGAACCACATCGCAGGCTGGCAGGAAGCCACCAGCTCGTGAGACGTGTGTTCCTGCGTGTGCATGTCGCTGTGTATGTGTGTTTTGCTCCCACACAGCCCAGCACCTCACCTGCCGGTAGTAGACGTAGGCCAAGACGCCAGCAATGATCTCCAGCAGGAAAATGATGAGGAGCAGGATGAAGTACTGGGGGACAGGGACCTGGTGAGGCTGGGCACTATCATCCTGGCTCTCCAGTGTGATGTGTGCACATGTCCCATCCGGCATTTCCTCCCACACGGTTGCTATCACTCCCTCTTCCCATAAAGGCCCAGAACCGGCAATGGGTAGCCCAGTGGAGACCCCCCACCCTGTGTTAGCCACACCCTGCTGACCAGACGCAGCAGATTCCGTCGCTCCTTGAAGGTAGCACAGCAGCCAAGGATGCCTGTCACCATGACAACCACACCAGCCACCACCAGGATGTAGGCTGTGGCCAGGTAGGTGCCCGAGGACAGCAGACTTATGTAGTCGCTTTTGAGGGCCAGCGTCCAGATGCCCACCGCCATGACGGCCAGGCCAGCCAGCTGCAGGCAGTAAACACAGCTCTCAGGTCCCACCCAGGAGAGGCCAAGCTGAGCCCCCAGGCCGGGCTGGGCCCCTGTCTCACCCAGAAGCAGCAGTTGAAAGTGAAGAGCAGGTATTTGAGGCAGATGGTACCACATGTTTCCTTCTTCTCATTGAACTCCCCCATCCTGGGGACCAAGGAGGCCTAGGGGGAGGGGGTCAGATGGTGTGGTCCTGATCCCTGACTGTGAGAACAGCAGGAAGCCACACAGGCAGGGATGCCCAGCCAACCATGGCCATGCACTGCAAAGGCGTCTCCATGGAAACCAGGCAAGAGTCACTTCCTGGCCAGGGCTGCAGCCAGGACCTACTCCGGATGCCCCCACCAAAACCCCAGCGCAGGGCATGGAGGGTCCCGGACCCACCTGTTGACTCACACTGTCACACTGAAAGGGAGGAAACCCCAGCGGGTCCCATGGGTGAGCTCACCAAGCCCGTCATTCCCTCCAGCATTCCCCAAGACCCACGTCACAGGCCAGCAGGACCCAACCGGCCTGCAGTAGAGGCGGAGGCCCCGATGTCCCCTTAGGGCTCTGCCCCACATCTTCCCTGGCTCCTGCAGCCAGCTAGGGCGGGAGTGTGGGAGCGGAAGGGGGTTGGCGCTAAGCTCCCGGAGCAGCTCCCAGGGGCTCTGTCCCCCGCATCCCTCAGTTAAAGTCTGCAGCAGAGATACATCCCAGAATGCGCAGGCGCCTAAGGTCGAGTTTCCAGACAGAACCCGCCCACCCCGCCAGCGGCCCCGCCCAGGGCTCACCAGGTGGTGCCTCAGGTAAGGAGGAAAGGCAGGTGGATAAAAGCTTCTGGAGACTCACTGGAGGGCAGAGCAGAGATGAAAGATAAGAAGTCGGCCGGAAACGGATCCTGTTACCCCCACGTAGGCTGGCGGAGGAAGCCAGCCAGAGCTGGGCTTTGGGGCAGGCAGGGTCCACTCCCAGGAGACAGGTTGAGGCCCGGGCCCGGCCCTCCCCCACCAAGCCCCACCCAGCCTGGCCAGAGACAGCCGGGCGGGCGGCTTGGTAGTGTATTTTGGTCTGGGCTCTGCAGGGCGGGGCAGCGGACATCTCTGGACAGTCAGATCCTGGGAGGAACCTCATTCCTCCTCAGTCCACACCACCCTGGCCCTTAGCCGCAGACTTATCACTCCCCGACCCTACAGTCAGCAGCTGCCGCCGCCTTGAGAAGGAGAAATGGCTCGCTCGGACGTCACCACTTAACTAGGAATGTCAACAGAACCCCCACTACTAAGCTAGGGAATGCGTAAACCCCAACCACTCGCGATGCGCCCCTGGGCTGGCACTGGGGTCTCAGGCCTCTGGGGAGGCTGGTTCAGGACACAGCTGGACATGCAGGACCTCAGCGACCCGCTGAGGAGTGAGTAACCCCTCTTTCCGGAAAGGCCTGGCAGAGATAAACGTGCTGGGAGACTGGCTTGAGCCCACCAGAAATAGCTCTTGAGGCTGGAACAGAGCGACCCCAGTGCAAGCCCTGATTCTCCACTAAGCCCCTAGGTCACCAGCGCCCAAGTAGAGGGCTCTGGAGCTCTCCAGGCAGTCCAGAGTGGAATCCGCGCGTCACCTCCTCCACCGGGTGCGGCCAATGGCCTGCCCACTAGCACCAGGCTGTGGGCGGACCTGTCGCCCAAGGGTGGAGACCGACCTCTGGAACAATGAGGGACGTTCGGGCTGCGCATTCTGAGGTTTTTGCCCGAGGTAGGCCACCAGGCCTGTCCCAGGACCCGGGCAGCGCTCGCCGTGCCTCTCGACCAGCCCACCCGCCCGGCGTCCGTCTCCTTCCGGAAAGGGCCTACAGGGGTCTGCCGCCAGATCCCGCGGGGCACGGTCTCCTCGCCTTCCCTGTGCCCGCAGCTGGGTCTCCTGGGCAGAACCTTCACCCCCTCCAGGCATGCAACCGGCCTAGCTGGCGGCGCACTCACCAGTCACGCGTCGGAATCCAGGATCAGGCTGCGGTGGAGACTGCGGGGGCGGTGGCTCGGAGGGCCGGGAATGCGCGGCCCGGGGCCTGCTCCGCCACACCCTTCGCCACGCCCCTTGGAGCAGGCCACGCCCCCGCAACCCCGCGGTTGCAGCTCAGGTCTGAACCAGAGCTCTGAGTAGGGAGGGATCCTGCCTGATGCAGGTTTACGGGGTTGTCCCGGGAAAACGGACACCCCTGGGGGCGCCCCCAGGATGGGCTCCACCCCCTCCGAGGAGTGAACTGGGAGGCAGAACTAGGGATAAAGGTGGTGTCCTTGAACTGCGGCCATCACCCAGGCCCCCTTTCCCTCATGGAAGAACGCAGACCTGAAGCGGAAGGCGGTGTGGTGAGAGGCAGGGGAGGAACCACTCTGCAGGCAGTGCGGTGGACAACCTGGGGGAAAGTCTGGGAACCCCGCCTTCCCCCCTTGCGAGAGTCCTCAGTTTGGACGTCCTGGAGTGCTGCGGGCGGTGCTAGAGGCTGAGAGAGAAAAGATAGCGCCTGGGGACGGGGCTTCTGACCCGCAAATCTCCCCATAGTTTCAGGATGGGTCTGAATCGGCCCACTCCGTACTAGCAGCTGTCCCTAGACATCGGGCAGAACTGACGCACCTTCAGCTCCCTGCTGGGGCCCAGGCAGAGCAGGAGAGGAACGTGGAGGGCAGCTTCAGGCCTGCCCACTCCCCCAGACTCTTTTAAGCACTTCTAGACTGGGGGTGTGGGCAAGCGGTCTGGGAGCTGGCAGGAAACCCCACCCTGGGGTCCCTCTGGAGACAAAAAACCTTGATCTGTACTGAGGTTCTCCCAGGAGTTTTTGCTTTGATGGGTGGTTGAGGACTTGGATATGACCAGGGACTTAGAGAAGACTCACAGGGACACAAACAGCGGCTTCAGCCCTGGAACTGGAGGGCCAAACGGGGTTTGCAGTGTGAACCTGTGAAATGCATGCCCCGCGCACATGCCATTGGTGTGCTACACATGTATGGTGAACACGTCACCCACATGGCATTCATACACTGCGATTCCCAGGCACACAGGACGAGGACAAGTTGTGGTTCACCGGGCTTTTTTTTAACTGTGTTAACTTTTTATTGCTCATTGAGTGAAGGTTTCCAGAGCGGATCGTCAGTTTTACATTCCACAAATCATATACTTTGTTTCCTTTAATGATTGTAATGGTCACCAGGTTTTATTGGGTGGAGGGGAGTTTCTCTATTGGGGCTAACGGAATGGGGACAAGATGAGGACTGGTGGGAGCGCACACCACCAACCAAGGTTAGCTCCTTCATATGTCTAGTCAGGCAGGCCAGGCAGCCCACCCGGTGCAGCCCACATCCTGGATGGGCCAGTGAGTCACTCGGTCCGGTCAGTCATCGAGCACTGGGCAGGTGGCCAGAGCCTCGGAGGGGCGGGCGAGCCCAGTTACAGCAACAGCAGCTGCCAGGTCCAGGCAGGCGAGCTGACGCCAGAGCCTTCCTCCGGCCACTGCCCAGCCTCTTGGTCTCACAGGCGTCCCTCTCATCACGTAGTCGGGTGTTCAGCTCCCTGGGGAAGGGTGAGGAACTAAGATTTTGGAAGGCCTGTTGTTGTTGTTATGTGCAGTGGAGTCGGTTCCGACTCACAGCGACCCTATATAGGGTTTCCGAGGCTGTAAATCTTTACGGGAGCAGAAAGCCTCATCTTTCTCCCGCCGAACAGCTGGTAGTTTCGAACTGCCGACCCTGAAGTTAGCAGCCCTATTCGTAACCACTACGCGCTACCAGAGCTCCTTTTGGAAGGTCTAAAGGGGTCCAATTACAAGAAGCAGCAATCTGGGATGGGGGTACTGTGAGCTCTGGCTCCCATCCTGCCCTCCCCCCCCCCGCAAAGAGAGAGCTTGAAGGATGGAGGGCAGACACTAGGAAGGACATGTCCCAGCCAGAAAGGGGGCAGTAGGTGACCCAGGAACGTTTAAGAGCAGAGAGCCTCCCTGCTTCACCGACCCCCCTTGGCTTACAGCCGAGCGCCCACACCTGAGGAGCTCCAACTGTCGTAGCAGGCTGAGCTTTTCCGTCTGCATGTTTCTCGAGACCACGACCACGTCTCTGCAGGTGGGAGGCGGTGAGCGATGTGGGAGGCTCCTCTGTGCCCAGGACTCTCCCCCCCACCGCGCCCCAAGCGGAACCCCTACGCAGGTCTAGAGGCGGGGCTGGGGCAGGGATGCGAAGAAAGAGGCCCAGCCCTGAGCCCCTGCAGGCGCGGCCCCAGCCCCACGGCCCCTCGCAGGACACGCCTCGCGAGGATCCGCCCACCCAGCACCCAGGCACCGTCGCATTTGCTCTTGACGACCCAGCGCATCGCCCTCCAGTCTGCGGAGCTGCTCCTGCGCCCCCTCCAGCTGTGTCCGCAGCGCCTCGTTGGCCAGCCACAACTGAGCGTTCTGCGCCTGCGCCTCCAGCTGCTCCGCGGCGCGAGTCTGCAGCTGTTGTTCCAGCTGTGAGGGTTGGGTAAGGGAGCTAGGCTCTCCCTGGCGGGCTGCCTTGACCCGACTCCCGACGGTTCTGGACATGGGGACATTGAGGCACGGGGATCCCCCCCAGGCGCCAAGGAGTGCTTAATGACGGTGGCGACGGGGTGTGGGCCAGGGTCACTTACCTCCCGCTGCCGCAGGCCTGCATACTCCAGCTCCTGCTCTCGGCTTTGCAGTTCCTGCTCCAGGCGGCCCCTCCGCTCTTTCCGGGGGAGGTCCTGGGACCGGGGAGAAGAGGGGTAACCTGAGACGTTGGGCCGCAGAGAAAGAACACCTGGAAATCCGAGCCCGGATGGGGTCGGGCGAGGCGGGGGCCTTAGCCTGGTGAAAGGCGAATGAACTCTGGGCTAGGGGCTCCCGGGAGGGCGGAGGTGAAACCTTGGGGGCAAGGCGAGGCGAGGCAGGCGGGCCCACCTGAGATCGCAGGCGCAAACGCTGCTCGCGGAGTTGCTGTTCCATCTCATCGTACAGGTACCGCACCTCCCTCTCGTACTCGCTCTCCCGCCTTGGGGAGGAAGAAGGGGTGGTGAGGATGGCGGATTAGTACCTGCCACCACTTCAGACTTCATTTTGCTCGGATCAACCATCAACACTCATGGAAACAGCAGTTACGAAATCAAACTACGTATTGCATTGGGCATTATCTCTTTAAAGTGTTGAAGAGCAAACATGTCAGTTTGAAGACTAAGGTGGACCTGACCCAAGCCATGGTATTTTCAATAACCTCATATGCCTGTGAAAGCTGGACAGTGAATAAGGAAGACCGGAGAATTGATGCATTTGAGTTATGGTGTTGGAGGAGAATATTGAAAGTGCCATGGGCTGTCCATAGAAACAACAGATCTGTGTGGGAAGAAGTGCAGCCAGAGTGCTCCTTGGAGGCCAGGATGGCCAGACTTCGTCTCTCATACTTCGGACATATTGTCAGGAGGGACCAGTCACTGGAGAAGGATGTCATGTTTGGTAAAGTGGAGGGTCCGAGAAAAAGAGGAAGACCCCCAGCAAATGGCAGAAGCGATGGGCTCAGGCATGGCAACAATTATGAGGTTGACCCAGGACCGGGCAGTGTTTCGTTCTGTTTGGTGTACAAAGGGTCGCTAAGAGTCGGTACGGACTCGATGGCACCTAACAATAACAACAACCACTTCAGACCCCGGCCCCTTCCGCTGACCCCCAGTTCTTACCGCCGCAGCGCCTGTGCTAGGCCGTCCCGCTCTCGGGCCGCCTCCTCCAGACAGGCGGACGCGCGCATCAGAACGTCCTCGAAGCAGCCCAGTAGCTCGGGTCGCTCCCGCTGTAGCAAGACCCAGAGAGCCCGCACCGCCCGCTGCCTAGAGGAGCGGACGGGGATGAGAGCAGCCCGAACCCCGGTTCCCCATCATTCTCCGGGTAAACCCCCAAGAGAGCTCTGTGACCCAGGACGAGCGCGTCTGCCCGCTTGCATCGCTTCCGTCTGTGTGTGTTTTCGCGCCTGCTCGGGGTCTGTACGTGCTGTGGTTGGTTGTGCGTTTATCCTGTGTGCACGGCCCGGTGCCAGGCGCTGCTTCCCGACTGCCACCTCCCAAGATGCAAATTGTGCGGGAAATCACGCCCGCCCGCCCCTCCCGAGATTTGCAAATTGGAGGGAATGGCTGGATTCAGCCGGGCCAAGGAAGGGACTCTGCCAGGGAGCAGGCATTTGACAACGTGCAAAGACAAGGATGGACAAATGGCAGACGGACAGCGATATAGGGGAGCAACATGGACTCACTCGCCCAGGATTCGGGCCACCCCCAGCTGCTCCAGTGCAGCGCAGAATCGCTCTCCGCCCTCTTCCTCCTCCTCCAGGGAGCCCTCAGGGTCTTGTGCATCAGGCCAGCCTGACTCAAAAGTTTCCTCGGTGGCTCTGGAGGGCAGCATGCGCTGGGCTGATTCCACACCCACGAACTTGCCTATGGCATGGGAGGAAGGAATTACCTAGGACCCCTGGCTTCCCCTCCATCTCGGTTCCCACCCCATTCACTCCCCCACTGTTTCCTGTTTTCCTTCCTCATCTGGCCGGTTGGCCTGGGATTGGGAGGTGACAGTTGGGCCGAAGCCAGTAAGGAGTGAGCCTGTCTCACTGCCCTGTAGGAGTTTGCCACAGGAGAGGGAGTGGGGGTGCTGAGGTGGGGTTCTCGGGTGGGTGTGCCTGAGATTCCAACACCAGCACCCCCTGGAGGAAGCCATGGTGCAGGCACAGGGTCTCTGGGCAGCAGGGAGGACAGGGCGAGGCTCACCAAGGCCAAGGCTGAACTCCCGAAGAGTGAGAAAGCCAGTTTGGGCCTGGTCCAGACTCTCGAACACAGCCTCCAACTGCTCAGGTGTGAGAGGCAGGTCGCTCTGCAGGCCCTGGGCCCAAAGGAGAGCAGGAATGAGCCACCAGAGAATTGAGGGCCCTCAGCACCTCCTGGAGCCTCCTGGGGTGGTGCCTCACCTGCAGGTCATGCCGAGTGATGAAGCCCTTGGCCTCCTTGTCACATAGCAGAAACAACTCCTGAGCTTGCTCCAGCATCATCGACACCCTCGGGGGGTCCACCTCCTCCTCTTCCTCCTCCTGGGTCTCCTGAGACCCGGACTTTCCCTGACTGGCCATGGGAGAGGGTCTCAGGGGTGCTGTGAATCCAAGAGGAGTCAGAACCTGGGATGGGAAGGCAGGGAGAGTGTGGGTGTCTAGAAGAATAGGGGTGTACTGAGGGAGTCAGAGCACTTTCCTTCCATTAGGTGTGTGGGGGGCGGGGGGCGGTGTCAGGCTGTAGTCCTAGGAGGAGAGCAGGGTGGGGTGGGGCAGGTTCGGGACCTATGGCCTATGAGGGGGGGTTGTGTGCCACTCAATCCATTCTAACTCACAGTGACCCTGACCATGAGCTTTCCAAGGCTGTAAATCTTTACAAGAGCAGAAAGCCGCCTTTTTCTCCAGAGGAGCCACTGGTAGGGATCTGACCTATAGGGACCAGGAATCACCAAGGGAATGACAAGGGTCACTGAAAGAGAAGCGTCACTGTCCAAGGGACTCCACCTACAGCAACTAGCTACAGAAGAGCTCAGATGAAACATGAGCTGCCACAGGTCCTGGTAGCTGAGAGGTGAGAACTTGAGACGAACATTGGTCAGCCAGAGAGGAGGAGTCATGTCCTGTAGCCTCCCCCTGCACCCCCACTTCAGGGCCTGCGTTGCCTTCCCTCCAGCCCGTTGGCAGGCCCATGCTCAGCAGGGCAGGGTCCCAGCCCCAGTGCCCTCTGCTTGCCCCCAGAGTCTGGACTCAACACCCCCTCCTGGTAGCACTAGGGCTGGCCTTCCCCCAGACTGGTCCCAGAAACCTCCGCGGGGGAACGCTCCGCCCCCTAATCAGAGCCACCTGTCGTTCCCATACCCCGCCCAGGTCCTGGATTCCCCAATGCCCCCCTCAGTGTGGCCATACCCTTGCGCCCTGAGTCCTAGGACGTTGGGGTCCTCTCCCCTCACCAGGGGCCCTGATCCTACCCACCCCCCATATTAGGCAGGGTGGGTGGAGACTTGGCCTCCAAAGAGAGCAGGTTCAGGGAGGCGGCGGGGTAGAGGAGGGGGCATGAGTGGACGGGTATTCCCCACCCAAACTGCACCATCGTCTCGCCCAAGCGGCGTCGCCTCCCTCAGCTCACCGGTTCCCCGGGATCGGAGATCCATCCCAGGCGGAAGCTGAGCTCCAGCCGCCCTGTGCGGAGGCACGAGGGCTGGGGGCGGGGTCCGAGGAGCCCCCTGCGCCGAGAGAGGCCCAGAGTCTTGGCCTTGCGCCCTCTGCGGCTGCTGGGGGAGCTGTGCGCCCGGGCCAGTAGGCGAGCCACAGGTGTGTCGGACTGGACCCTGAGTTGCCTACCTATGACCTGCGGTGCCGCACCTGCCACGAGTCCCGGCGGCTCCTCCCGGAAACGGGGTGCGCCCCTTCCTGGCTCCACGCGGACCCTGAGCGCGGCTCCCGCTGCCAGAGCCGCCACCGAGACCCTGGCGGTCCGATCCGCCAGGGCGGAGTCGCAGCGCTGCTGTCGCCGTCGCGATGCCTCCGCCTCTCGGCGCCGCCCGGGCCACCGAGGCCCGCACCCCACCCAGCCCGCACCCTGCACTCGACCCCAAGAGCCCGCAGATGGCCCCCGCATCTGATCGGCAGTGGGCCTAGGCAAGGGGCGACGAAGTCAGCCCCTGGGGACCCGGGATCCTGGCGGGCGCAGGGCCAAAGCCATGCTGGTGAGCTAGGGGAAAACAGCAGTGTCCGGTGGGCCGTCCCTGTCCTCAGGAGCCCGACGCCAGGAGCCAAAAGTGTGTGTAGGAAAAGCAGAGGCAGGAAACAGAACTATTTTCAATGTCTGTCTGCAGGGGGAGGTGGTGAAGGGTAGCTGCTGCCTACATTTCCACTTTTGCTTTTTAACAATAAATTTGTAATTCTGAAAAGTAGTATTTAAATTAGCAGCATGAGTGTGTACAAGTGTGTGTGTCATAGAGGGAGAGCCCCACTTCAGAAGCCACCCCCCAGGACTCAGTCTGTGGGACACAGCCCTGGGTTCCCAATGGGGAGAGCTGGGGGGCCTAAATGGGACCCTTTCTCTAGAGGGAAAATGCCCATCTCCTTTCCAGAACCCCTCCCTTTCCTGGCTCCTGCACCCACCTGAAGGGACCGGTCTCCAAGGGGACTGGAAGCCTCTCAAGAGAAGGGACCTTGGGCTCCAGCTGAACTAGACAGGTTGGGCCTATGGAACAAGACCTTGAGACTAGGAGGGGGCTGGCTCCTGGCACACAGGGGACCTGCTGGGCCGGCTCTCCCAGTCTTGCGGTCCCACTACCGTTATTGTTGGCTCTCGCTCTTACTAGCATGGCCTCGCCGCCAAGCCTTCTGGGAGGCGGAACCCAGCCAAGCCCCCCTCCCACTCTGCTCAGGCATTTCTTACCCCATGGGTCCTTTGAGTCTCCAGAAAGGCTGGTCATGTCTTCTCAGTACAGAAGTTTTTATAAAACCCTGACTCTCCAAAACAAGACCTGCCAGACCTCAGCCTTAGACATACTCTATGTATCGACAGGTGACAAGGGGGATCCATAGCACTTACACCTGACCAGCAGGGCTTGTGACGGGCCTGAAAAGACAGAGTCCTACTTACTCTGCCAAGAGTGTGTGGGGGGGAACGGGAGCCCCACCCACTGCTATTTCACCCAAGACCAGCCCCACACTCAGCAGCATGTTACAGAGTGGGAGGTGGAGGAGTGGCCAGCTACACTACTTCTTGTAAACATCACTGAGATTTTATTAAACTGGCTATTGGTCCAAATATTTCCAGTGGGCCTTGGAAAGCTGTGCCCAGGACTAAGCCAGCGGGCCTTGGAGCAGAGTAAGGCCATGTATGGGTTGAGCCATTGGTGCCCCTGGGAGAGGGCTCCAGGCCCAGCTGGCAGGTCCCAAGAGCCAGGATCAGTGAGAGTGGTCCCTGGCCTGGATATGGTGGAAACCAAGGTCAGCGGCAGGTGGGGATTGGGGGTGTGTGGCAAGGGAGGAGATGAATCCCATACACAAAGGAAGGAGGCAGGAATGAGCTGTGGCTTTTATTAAATCTGCTTTGGCAAAAATAAATAACTCTTGACACACATTTTTCAGCAAAACCTGAAGAATCAGAAGGAGGAGCAGGTGCAAAGTTCTCATGAGTAATACTGCACTGTGGGCCCGTCCCGCGGTGCGGCGCCCCCAGTTCTGGGCCTGGCCCTGAAGGGAGAGGAGGTGAAGGCACAGGACAGGAGGCCATCCGCGAAGGGGAGGGGTCGTCTGGACCCCTCCCCACTCAGTGCAGCAGTGAGTGGTTAATCAGAAGCCGGGAGGCGTCACAGCAAGTGTCTTTCCACGCAGCTGTGAGGGGCTGTGAGGGGCGCCACGCCTCGGCTCCACAGTCAGTAGGCAGTGCGGAGGAGGGTAGGGGCCTTAGCGGGTCCCAGGGTCCCACCTCGCCTCACCGGGCAGGGAGGCTGGGGGTTCCGGCCCTCGGCATCAGGACCCCAGGGGGCTGGGAAACGCCAGGTCGGGGGCGTTCAGCAGGGGGGCAAACCCGGGGGTACGCATGCGCAGGGCGTCGGGCGGGAAAGCCACGTTGGAGCAGAAAAGACCAAGCAGGAGTTGGCGCTGACACTCCTCCCACTTGGCCAGCGCATCCCCAAGGGAGAAGTTGTTACGCATCCAGGCAGGTAATGCCTCGCTGTAGGCGGCGCAGGACAGCGGCACGGAGGGCAGAGACTGGGTGCGGCGCAGCTCCATCTGCTCAGACAGTCTGCAGCCGCCAGGAGAAGGGCAAGGGAGGGAGGCTTGAAAGGGGTCTGGAAGCAAGGGAGTGGGGTGGGGGTTGGCGGACAGGCAGGGCCGCTCACCTGGAGGGCAGGTGGTCACCCAGCTTCCTCTTGGCACGCATCATCAGATACTGGCAGATACTTCCTGCCTGCTCCTTCATCCATCGGATGTCCTCAGGGACGTCGGGCAGCCACTCCAGCAAGCTGGGGGCGTGTGGGGAGGAGAGAACATTTGTGAGCGGGTGGGTGCCCAGCTTCAGAGTCCCTGACAGCAGCTTCACTTGCCCCCTCCTGATCGCCAGCCCACTACCGGATAGTGAAGGACACGGCACTCTCCAGGGGCAGCGTGTAAGGGACCATCATGGCTGTGGCTAGGCGCACGGGCAGCATGTTGGAAAAGACGGTCATCAGGTCTTTGGGTTCCACACAGGCCTCCAGCAGGGCTGTGGGGTATGTGGAAGAGAAAGGTTGGTGGCTGCCAGGGGAAAACACACCCCTCTCCTTTCCTGGGCACACACCCTCATTGAGCCTGGCAGGTAGGTGCTCCAAGATGCGTTCCTCCACTTGCATCCTCTCTACATCCATGGATGCCTCAACGTCCTCCTCCGCCTCCTTATCCTCGGGAGCGTGGGGGTGGGCCGCGGGCAGGGCCAACAGGGGATTGGGCTGTTTCAGGAGGCCTGGGTAGAGGGTGAGGAGGATCAGCGCCGCCCAGCCAACCAGCCCACGGTCTGCAGGGGTGGTTTGGGCAGCTGGTCCCCAGCACCTGGTGTCTACACACCGTTCCGACGTAGGAAGCGTAGTCCATCCCTGTAGCCTTGCTTACACATCTCTCTCAGCACCTGAGGCAGGGGGATGGAACAGCTGGAGCAGAGGTGGTACCCGTGGGTGTCCTTGCCGACTCCACCTCATCCTTGTAAACACACCTGTCTTGGATCCTAGGAGGTGGCTCGCCCACCCCCCTACCCAAGGGAGAGGTGGTCTGGGCTATATAGCCCATGTCCCAGCCCATAGGAAAGGCTAAACAGGTCCCGATTCCCCACTCCATAATGGAGTTTTAGGAGAGGCCATAGAGACCCCAATGGAGCTCTGGTAGCATAGTGGTTACGAATCGGGCTGCGAACTTTAAGGTCAGCGGTTCGAAACTACCAGCAGCTCCACGGAAGAAAGATGAGGCTTTCTGCTCCCGTAAAGATTTACAGCCTCGGAAATCCTGTACAGGGGTCGCTATGGGTCGGAACCAACGCGACAGCACTTAACAACAACAACAATAGAGACCCCAAAGGGATTAGGTAGAGGATGAAGTGCTAGAGTTGTATCGTCAAGGTCAACAGATCAAATCTACCAAACACTCCTCAGGAGAGAGATGAGCCTGTTTGCTCCTGGAAAGATTTACAAGCCCGGAAACCCTAGGGTGGGGTCTCTGAGTTGGAACAGACTTGATGGCAGTGGATTTAGTTTGTTTAGTAGGGACCTTGTGCACTGTCCCCCTCTTGACCCTGAGCCTCAGAGGGAGAGGCGGTATAGTGGTGGCCCCTGGTCGGGAGCCACTCACCATAGGCTCTGGAGGGAAAAGAGCTTTGGAGAGACGGTAGAGGTTGCGCAGGTTGAACTGGATGCTGGTGTTGGTGAACCGCAGTTCATGGATATTGGTGGAACTGTCCTGCGGGCAGATGTCACTCTCACCCGAGAAGGGAGACACAGTGATGGTGTTTTTGAGTTCGTAGAGGGGCAGGTTGTCTGAGATACCACCGTCTACATAGCGCTGTCAACAGACCCAGACCCACAGTGAGAGGGTGTCTGCACTGCCACCCCACCCGGCCACCCCAGTTGCCACCTTGTGTGGGGCCTTTCGCCCACTGGGCACTGAGCAAATGGCTGCCCTGGGCTGAGTGGCAGGGAGGAGGAAGTGTGCCTTCTTGGGGCTGACCACCTCTTGAGTAACCAGGCCAGGAAATGAGGCAACAGGCAGCCAGCAGTGGGGGGGGAATGATGCCTTGCTCCTCCATCCCTTGTCCTACCATACCACAAAAGGCGCCCCTGGGTTGAGCCAGATGGACACTCACCACACCTTGGAGAGTCGGGGGGATGAGGCCACAGTACACAGGAATGAAGGTGCTGCAGACATTGGCCTAGGGGCAGGGACGGAAGGGGTGGTGAGCATGGTGTCCTGGGGATCAGATCCCAGTCCCAACCTGCTGTCACGGAGCCCACCTGGATGAGCTCGTCCTTGGAGTTGAAGTGGGATATGATGACGTTCTCGCCATCTGAGACTCGGGTTAGAGAGATACCCAAGCGCCCATTAGCCCGTTCATGGCAGTCGGCAGGCAGGGTCTTCATCAAGCAGCCTCGGATGGTCTTCACCAGATTGAAGGAGGGGTGCAGTGGGCCCAAGAACCGCTTCCGGGCTTCCTTAGACACGTCGATGATGTTGGCACCGGCCTCACCTGGGGCAGCAAGACCAGTGGGTAGAGGTCAGGGACCAGCAACTCTGGCCTTAGTACTCAGTCCATCTTCCCCGCCGTGTATCACAGCCAGGGTCCAGCACACGCCTAGTGTAGGTGACGCCGAGCTGATTCTGAGCTACTGCTGCTGAACCCTGGTCCACAACTGGGGCTTTTGCCACCTGCCCCTGTGGGGGAAAAGGCAGGCCACCACTCCTGGGATGGCAGAGAGCCAGAGCTGGCCAGCCGGACCTGCCCTCTGTCTGGTATTTCCCAATTGCTTGCCCATGAGTCACTGCGCCCTGTATGGCGTGGTCACCCGCCTGAGTGGGGAGATGGCAGTGGCTCAACTCTGACCAGCCTCAGCTTTCACCCACTTGGTCAGATCCAGTCTGTGCAGGGGTCCCACAGGACTGGACAATGGGGTCAGAAGAAGTGGAGGGTCCTACCCCTGAAAAATTACTAACTGTCCCAGACAGCCAAGAGCAAATACCTACCAACATTCTCTGGGAGATCCATGGCTGCGAGTGGGGCGCAGCCAGGGAGCCAGAGAACTATGCCCCCCTCTCCCCCCAGGACCACCACACCGTCCCTGGCCCAAGCTGCCCAGACTACAGGTGTAACAGGAGGCTTGCTGGAAGTAGGGTGGGGCAAGGTGCTTTTCAGGCTGTGTCCTCAATAAGGGACCTGGGTATGTCTTGGGGCAGGCATGGGGGCCAAGGGCATTTATCCAAAGTCCTCTGTGGGGTGGTCTTGCTAAGGGAAGTAGTGATCCCTCATAAATCCCACCTCCCCCAGGGCAGAAGTCACAGGAGGTGGAGAAGGAGAAGGCTTCTGGACAGAGCATTTAAGGTTAACTTCCTGGTGACCCCACTGTCACCTTGGCGGCCTTGGCGGGGCTGGGGGTTGGGCAGCAGTCCCAGGGCTCTGGGAGTACTTGACGTGCTGTAAACAACATGGCACGTGCTGGGCCGGAAGTATACAGGAGGAGGGACATCAAGCACAGAGGACCCCTGGCATAACCCGCTGCAGGACCCCCGCCCACGGGCTGGACAATCCAGAGCAACAGTCCCTCACCCCTATGGTGAGGGTGGGCCACAGCCGTGACCCTTGTCCGAGCGGCCAGTGCAAGGTAAGGAGAAGGCTAGAACGAATTCAGCGGGGCTCCTCCTCCAGGGGCCCTTGGGAGGGACTAGACCAAATCGCCCGGACATGCGCCTTCAGCGGCCACCGGGGCAGTGGCGATCTGGAGTTGTGTATCCCCAGGACACAGTGACCGCTGGCATCCGGTCCGACGCCCCGGGGAGCCGAAGATCCGCCCCTAACTCTCGAAGTCCCGCCCATGGGCTACTTTCTCTTTCCAATTAAACAGCTTTTGCTGAACCTGCTTGTCCCCTAAACTTCGCGCCGCATCAGGTGCAACCGCAACCCCAATACCCTAGCACCCCGGAACAAAACAAACTAGGCCCCGCCCCCTCATCGAGTGCCCGGGATAGGACACGCACCCCGCGATCCCGGGAGTGGCCAGAGACCTTCCCACACCTGCCCTTCCCCCTGTCGGACCCCGGCTCCACTCACCCAGGCAGGCCCCAGTGACCAGCGCTGTGGCAGTAAGCGCCCCGGCCGAGGCGCCATAGATGTGCTTGGCGTTGGCCACCAGGAAGGGCGCGTGCTCGCGGAGGCAGGAGGCCACGCCGATGTGGTAGACGCCAAGGAAGCCGCATCCAGCGAACGAGATGTTCCACGTCGTGTCCTGGGGGAACATCGCAGCGGCCGCCCCGCTGGGCTCCGGGACTGCGCGGGGTCCAAGCAGCCGTCCGCCGCGCGCTCTACCCTCACTCGCTAGAGCCCGGACCCTAGTCGGCCCGGACAGTGTGCGTTGTCGGTCCCGCTGTTGCTCTTAGCCTGGGTCTCCGCCGGCGGAGGCGGAGACGCTGTGCCGGGTGGCTGTGAAGGCGGTGTTATCTGTGTGGAGTGAGCGGCGGGATCGGGGGCGGTGCCGGAGCGAGCGGACCAATGGGGCGCGCGGAGAACGGCCGCACCCTCGGGGCGGGCCCAGAAACCCCACCCATTGGTTCACTATTTCGGACTCCGCCCACTGTCGCTAACCCTGAACAACAGGACACCTGAGTCCGGCCCTGACACGCTCCCACGCTCCCCGGTCTCCATCACCCCCTTCCCCTCTTCCTTTGTGGACCTACCACCATCCGGGATATGCGAGCTCGCTCAGGGGACAGTCCACACCTCCAGCACCTACCAGGGCTTCACACGCAGGCCTCAGGATCCCTCCGCCACACACTCACGCAGGCTCCATTCCATAAATACCGTGGCCTGGATGAGTGTTCACACATAAGTGACCCCCAGAAGTAGCACCAGGCCACAGTCACAGCATCCGGCTCTGCCCTGCCTCCACCGCGAGGACCCCTAGCACCTGGGTCCTGCCCTAGCTCCACAGGGCTCAAGCTACGGGGTACACGGGGTATACTTCGGTTTGGACCCGAGGACGTGTTGGCCCTGGACTCTGCCTGCCCCACCCCTGCTAATTGCCCCAGCAGGTGGAGCACTTCGCGGTGATGTCACCTTCCCACCCCCTACTGCATTTTTCCCAGAATGACAAAGCAGGCCTAGCCTGGCTTGGGTTGAAGAGCCAGACTTGCACCCGCCCCAACACCTCATATAAAGGGGAGCAACCAGGGTCTGTCTCCCCAGGACCATACTCCCCAGGACCCAGTGGGTCTCCCATGGACAGAGGGCCAGGGCTGGGTAGGCTGGACATGCTTCCAAGCTCTGGCACTGAGCACCTATGGTGTGCTTATGACAAGGTAGGCTAGTCTAGATCCCATCTCCTGGGGCAGGTGCCTTGATTACACAAGCCTTGCTGCCTAGTGGAGGTAGGAGGGTCCTGAGGGGCTGTGAAGGATATTTAACAAGGAAAGACACAGGGTCATCCAGGACAACAGAACGGCATGTGCAAAGGTCCTGAGGACCCCAGGTCTGGTCCTGGGATGTAGGACTGTGTGACTAGATTTGATTTCAGAAGACCACTCTGCAAATGTTTTGGAAGGTAAGGGTCTGCTGATCAGGAGGATCTGTTGAGGGTGCTGTGCAAAGTGTGGTCCTGTCGGGATGATTGACACTGTTAGAGGCAGGGAACATGGAGTGTGGCGCAGACCCAGAGGTTCCCAAGTCCAGCCTGGGAAGCCCAAGGAGGTAGAGAGGGGCTCCACCAGGTGTCTGATCCATTGGGGGGACCATCCAAGGGATTGTCAAGGAGGAAGCGGAACAACGTGGAATGAGCTAGTGCCTGACCTCAACCAGAGTCCCCTGCCTTCTGTGTGCTGCCCAGCCACCTCTGGCCCCATTTCCACACCAGCTGGGGTTTGTTTTGAGTACATACCCCCTCCCTCTGTGCCCCCTGGGACCTCAGCTACCAGGAAGGTGTAGAACAGTGACCCTTCCTGGAAGCCTGCCTCAGGATTATGGGGAGATGTGATCTGAATCCTGGGTTCCCATGTCAGGAGGGAATCTCACCACCACAAACGCACTCCTCCCACCCCTACAGGGCAGGCCCTTAACCTGAGGTTGCCCCTGCCCCCCCCCACTCCTCTTCAGGACCAAGATGGGGTTGGAGCCTGTCCGCCACACCCATCAAACCCACTAGGGTTTTTTCAGAGTGTCCTTGAGACCCTTCCAGGCCACTCTGACTCTTTTCCTTCAAGGCTAGCCTGGGCCGAGACTCCTCAGTCTAGTCTACTCTTCTCTCCCAGCTGCAGCTCCCTAAGTAACCCAGGGAACTGGAGTCCTGGAGGCTGCAAAGTCGTCTGAACTGCAAGGCGGTGGTTCAAGCTCACTAGCTGATCCTTGGAAACCCTATACAGGGTCGCTATGGGTCAGAGTCCACTCGATGGCACTGAACCAGGAAACTACTCCATTAGGATTTTTGTGGCTATAACCTCAGATTCAGGTCACCAACCCTATCTTCCAAGTGTCCTGAGTGAGTTGGAATCTCCCACCTAGATTTTAGGTATGAGTGTGCCACCCAGGATTGGCCGTGACAGCCTCTGGTTCTAGAATAGGGCCAGGCCCACCCGTGGTCAACACAGCTGGGCCAGGATGTGGTGGCTACTTGCAGGGGCTAGGACAGAAACCTGCAGGAGCATAAGCAGAGGGAGCGTGGACCATCTGCTACCTCAGACCTCTGTAAAGTGTTCAAAAGCAAAGATGTCACACTGAGGACTAAGGTGCATCTAACCAAACCCCATATCATGGTATTTTCAAAAGCCTTGATGCGAAAGTCAGACGAGGACTACAGACCACAGAACTGATCCATTTGAGTCATAGTGTTGGAGAGTTATCAAAATACCAGGATCACCAAGAACAAACAAACCTGTGTTGCAAGAATTACAACCAGAATGCGCCTTGGAAGCCAGGATGGCCAGACGTCATCTCTTAAGGAAGGAACAGTCCCTGATAGACATGATGCTTGATTGGCTAGTGCTGACTTGACATCGCCTAACAAGGGCCTCAGTGGTCCTACGGCTGATCTAAATCGGCAGACCCCTGATGCGCTGGTCCCCCCCACCCCATAAAAGGGTCCTTCACTGGCCCACACATACCCAGCCGTCATCTGCCAGAGAGCTGGGCTGAGGCAGATATTAACAAAGATCCATACACAGCCTTTATTTGCAGGGAGAGGGGACTTAATCAAACAAGCCAAAGCCCATGTCGTCCTCCGACTCTTCAGACTCCTCCTTCTTCTCCTCTTTCTTGTCTTCTGCTGGGGAGAGAACAAGGGTGGTGAAGCCCCCAAGGCCAGACCACCAACTCAAGAACCTCATTCCCAGCCCCCATCACTTACCCGCAGCTGGGGCAGAACCGGCAGCAGGAGCTGCTGAGCCTGGAGCAGCGGAGACAGCCACAGCGCCACCAGCAGGCATGCTGGCAAGCTTGCCAATACCTGCACCAGAGGGAGGCAAAACCGAGCCTGGTGGGCAGTTTCACAGGCACAGTACTGGGGCTACCAGCAAGGCCCCCCCAGAGGACAGGCCAGAAGCGCCTGTCTCCTCCCCGCCCCCTCCCAGGCAGGTTTCTATCTGGGAACTTGGCTTCTAAGAATCCTCTCCAAAGGCTACCATGGTCACGGCAATGAAGTGAGACAAACATGTTTACAACCAGCTTCTGGCCACAAGGGTGAGAGCTCATGGACCAGGCAATGACAGGTTGTCTGACAAGGACACTCTGATGTCACCAGAAAATTATCTGCCCCAGGGTGGGGGGGGTGGGGCAGAAGCCCTGTCTTTGCTCCCAATGGGGATCATGTGAACATTATTGACAAAGATCCTACAAACCAATTTCCCGACACATCTGTTTTCAGTGAACTGGGGGAAAGGACTCAGGGCAGGCAGGCCAAGGCTGACTGACGCTGGGCCCCAGCTTCTGGGAGTGTCCAGAAGTACCCATGGTGTGAGCCCACAGAACTCGGCTCAGCCCTCCAGGCGAGGCTTCTAGGCTGCTCTGGTCCACAAGCGAAACCTGGCAGGCCACAGACTGGCTAGCAGGAATTAGGATGGACCATGGTGGCTCCATACAAGGAGCACTGGATTGCGAACCATAAGGTCCGTAGTTCAAACCCGCCTGTCACTCTGTGAGACAAAGGTGAGGCTTTCTGCTACTGTAAATATCTGGAAATCCTCCACAGGGTCACTATTGAGTCGGAACCAATTTGACCCCATTTGTTAGACACTCACCCTGAGCAATCACGTCTTCGATGTTTTTCCCGTTCAGCTCACTGATGACCTGCAGCAGGACCACAACCAGCAGTTACCCCAGGGGCCTGCGATGCAGGGGCCCAAACCTGGGGCAGAATGGGAGGTCTTTCCACCTGCACCACCCACCAAGGAAACGGTAATGGCTAGTTTGAAGGTGTAATGTGTTGGGATAGGAAATCCACTGGGAATTTTTCTAAGACGTATTACGGGTAGTCCATGACTTTAAGATGGGTTCTTTTCTAGAGACTATTGGGAACCTGGTACTTAAAAAAACACAAAAACGTTCACTATTGCAAGACCATCTGTGAGGGAACACCCAGGACATACACCAGCAATGCTGGTCATGGAAAACAGGAGAGAAACATCACCAGACTTCTCAAAACCCCATTGGTATCATAAACAATGAAATCTACACAAATGAAAACTACAGTACCACCAGCCACCAAGTTCCTCCAGACTAGAAGACCAGAGAAAACACCTACAGATGCAGATAGATTTGATTTTATTCTGTGTGGGAGAAAACAACAACAAAAACCCACCATTTAAAACTTCTAGTCCCTTTTTGGGAGGCATGAAAGGCTCCATATGAGAAAACACTGTGTGTAACCCACAAGGTCTGTGGGGCCAGCACCTCAGGAGAAAGCTGAGGATTTCTGCTCTGGAAAGCACTGAAAGGGCTTCCGTGCGAATTCTGACTCACAGCAATGCTGTGTAAGGTTTCCAAGGAGCAGCTGGTGGGCCTGAACTGCTGACCTTGTGATTCACAGTCCAGGGCTGAGCTCCAGCGCTAGAAGACACAGCAGCAGCCAGGACTGTTTTCCTACCAGAAGTCCGCGCATTGGCGGGCCATACAAACTTGTCAACTTAAAAACTAACCTGTTACATTGGGTCAAGCATTTTATTAACTCTCCCTAAGTTACGGCTGCCACTCACTTGCCCTGGCAGAGCCAGAGACCCAAGGATCTCATGGGCCTTTTTCTACACCCCACCACCACCACCGCCGACGTTCCCCACCCATACACGACACTTAACACTACTCCCCTTTTAAATGAAAGAAAAATAAAACCCGAAACTTTGCTACTTAAAATTTAAATCCCTCTAAACCCGATTTAGGAGTCCCGGTGTGGCGCTGTGGGTTAAAGCGCCAGACTGCAAAGCTGTTTGACCTGCAAGATCGGCGGTTCAAACTCATCAGCTGCTCCTCGGAAACCCTATCCAGGGTCGCTATGGGTCGGAATCCACTTGACCGCACTCAACAACAATCCCGATTTATGTTACTTTGACTAGATCACGCTGGTCAGGCCTGTCAAACCCATGTTCGCAAAGTGGCCCCATTAGAAACATCCACCCGAACGGGCACAAAACCCCCCCAAATCCCGTTTCCCCAAAAGTAGAGTTCGGGCACGCGCAGTGCAGGCGATCCGCCCCGGCTGCTACCTTGTTAAGCCGGTCATCGTCGGCCTCGATGCCCACGCTGTCCAGAATCTTCTTGATGTCCTTGGCGCTGGGGGAGGAATTGCCCCCGAGGGCGGCCAGCAAGTAGGAGGCGACGTAGCGCATCCTGAAGGAAGCCGAGAGAAAGAGGCAGCGTTATCCGCGGCCTTGTGGCTCCCCCCTCCACGCCCGGGGCCGGAGGCCGAGCAAGGCCACGCGTGGCCGGCCCGGAGCCCCCAGAAGCGACCTCCCCAGGGCAGCCTAGTTCTCTGTGCCCCGGCGCGCCCTCCCGGTCCCCACGCACAGGTGCCCGACCCGCGGCTCCGCAGCCCCACTCACTTGGCAGCGGCAGACAGGCCTCACGCGTGCGACCACGGCGGCGTCAGCGAGGGAAAGGAATACGCCGGAACAGGGGCGGGATTAAGCCGCTACCCAGAAACCTCTAGGGCCCTCCATGTGATGTCACGGAGGGTTCAGCCATTGAGGACTGAGGAGACGCCATTGTTCCAAGTCAGTCAGTCATCCTAGCAAAGGCAAAGGGGACGTTTTGGGACTGGTTTCTCGTATAGTCTCAGGCAAATGTCCTTTGAAATCCATTGGGCGGCCGTTCAAAGGAAGATGCGAGGCCACAAAGTCAATGATTTGCCTTTCGGAACGTAGCGCTCCCAGCATGCCACGCGGCGCCTACAGTGCCCAACATGCAATGCGACTGCTTGAGACACAACGCCCGGAACCATCCCTCTCTGCGCGTAACTGTTGTACACGGCAAACTGCAAGTCCCATGGTGCACTGTTGTCGGAAGCGCGTGAGCGCCGCTGGAGGCGCAAATGAGCCGCAGGTTTGCGCGAGGCTGCACGTGGGCAAGGATAGCGGCTATTCAGGCTTCTGCATTTCCGGCTTTCTGGGGTGGGGGTTCTTCCACCGCAGGGCTCAGAGGTCCAATGTCGGCCGGGCCCCGAGTGGCCCACTCCTCCAGCCGAGCCCCGGGCTCTCTCGCGCTTCCACCACAGAACTGGAACTGCCTTGGGTTCTAGGCTGCTGGCTGCGTTCTTGCGGTGCCATGACCTGTGGCAAGGACACAAGTGAATAAGGCAGCAATCGTAGGCTGACACCCTGGAGGGAGGCATGGCGGAGTGAGAGACAAGTGGTACTGGAGGATGAGAAGGAGCAGGCCGAGTGGCCACCCATGCCAGGCTCGGTGACAGCAGTGCCAGCCCTCACCAAGAGTGTGTGCACCCAGCGCTGGCCTGTTAGCTTCTGCGTGTTAGCTTCCCCGAGATGAAGTCGCCCTTCCTTCCGTGTCGTAGATGATGCGGGCAGGGTTGTTGTCAGGTACCATCGAGTCGGAACCGACTCATAGCGACCCCATGCACAGCAGAA